ACGACTTAATGTCGTCGCTGATGCACTCCACGTCGTCCCGACTTTGAAACAGTCGCGAAACCCAACAGTGAGACAGTCACTGTTGCGGTTATGACGTCCTCAGTTCCATCTACAATGTTGTATGATGATGTGAGGCGGGCATACGCCCAAGATGGTGAGATAGTGAAGTTGTTGTCACATCTCTCCCAACCATCTCGAGAATCGTTGAAACGATTGTCGTCTGCGTATCGATCTGCATCAGATCGATACACTACTCGTAACGGTTTACTGTAATATACAGCCGTTTCTGGTGACACACCACGTGTTGTCATTCCAGATGATACTGATCTGCGTTTGCGGATCATGTTCGAGTATCACGATGCTTCTGTAGAAGGACATCGTGGCCGAGAGAAAAACATATCTCACGGTAAGTCGAGACTTTTACTGGCCCCGCCAGTATCAGTTTGTGCGAAAGTATGTTCGCGCATGCGAAGTCTGCCAACGAGTGAAGTCAAGTCCTTCACTGCGTGCACCTTTACAGCCTCTACCGGTTCCGGCTGAGTGCTGGGAATCCATCTCAATGGATTTCGTCTTCGGGTTACCCAAAGACGCACGCGGGAATACGGGTATTCTCGTATTTGTTGACAGATTCAGCAAAATGGTACACCTTGTGGCTGTACCAGAGACAATCACGGCAAGTGGCTGTGCTTGTGTCTTTATTGACACCATCTTCCGACTTCATGGGTTGCCCCGTGAACTCGTATCAGACAGAGATCCACGATTCACTGCTGATTTCTGGCGTTCCGTGTTCAAATCACTCGGAACGCGCTTGAAGATGTCAACATCTGATCATCCAGAGTCAGATGGTCAGACGGAACGTGCCAATCGTGTCCTTGAAGAGATACTTCGAGGATACGTACACTCCTTTAAGAGTTGGAGTGAGTTTTTGCCAATGGTAGAGTTTGCCATCAACAACTCGGTGCATGCGTCCACGACACATACACCGTTTTACGTGAATGGCTTGCGCCATCCGCGTGTACCCACCTTACTAGAGTGTAACTCTGGTTTAAGGGGGGAGGGACTCGCGCGAGCAAAAACCGAATTGGTTCACGCTCATCACGCTCTGACGAAGAAGTCATTGCGTTTGATGCCGATATCGATAACATCGATATCGAAGAAGATGATGCCAGTGAGAGTGCGGAAGCCCTCACTGAAGACAATGATCCCAGTGAGAGTGCGGAAGCCCTCACTGAAGAAAAGGTTGTTGTCGCTGCAGTGCGCTCACAGCACACTGAAGCTAACGAGTCATCAGATGAGTTCATACTGGCTCGTGAAACGGTAGTCCGTTTTGTGCAAGACTCCATCGCCGAAGCGGTGGATAAGCAAAAGCAAAACGCTGACAAGAATGGAAGGGCAAACACTCTTTTATTTAATAAAGGTGACTTAGTCCTACTGTCTACGGTTAATCTACCAAAACATGTAGTGACTAACTTGGGTAGCAGTAAACTACTACCCAAGTACATTGGCCCATTTCGTGTATTGCACCGCCTAGGCAATGCATACACGATCGAGTTACCACGTAAGATGCGAACGCATCCCACGTTTTACGTTGGTCGGCTTAAGCCGTACCATCAGTACGCTGCTTCTTCCGATGAAGAACGCCCTTGCGCTCAAGCATCTCGCAGAGAGCCTTGTGCTCCCGATGGTGGGCATCAACAAGGGTCTGAAGAGCAGTTATCTCAGCCCGAGACCGATCAACAATCCCACGAGCTACCCTTAGCTCGTCACGAAGAGATGTCAGAGATCTCTCGTTCTCAAGCTGAGCAAAGGCAAACTCAGCTCGATGCTTCGAGGCAGTGTCCACCATCTGGAGACGCCTATTCCGCTCATGCTCGAGATCGTCGCGTAACCCTTGCGTTACGCGATCAAAGAAGCTCTCGGGAACACACCGATCCACATGATCGTGTGGAGAGCGTCTTTCCTCCTCCTCCACCTCCATTAGAGGACTCTCGCGGTGGCCAGCGCTATCTAGTTGAGCAGCTGTTGAACCACCGCGACGTGAACGGACGTCGGACGAGTTACCTCGTCCGGTGGCGCGGCTATCCCCCGTCCTGGGATTCTTGGGAGCCCCGCTCCCAATTGATGGTTGACGTACTGGGTCTGGTCGAGCAGTACGACGCGACACATCCTGTGCCGCAGAAGGACCGCCGGAGAAAGTCTTCCCGGCACGGTCGTAAAGGGATTTCAGGTTGTCAATCCCTTCGTACATCTCAGTAGAGACACGTACGCGCCACCACGGGCTGGTAAGGAGGTAAGCCTCCTTAGGTGCTCGTGCAGAGTTGTTCACACAACATGGGCACGAGTCTCCCCAAGAGAGGCAGGGTAATCCTTTCTCCCTTGACAGACGATGCAGCTTATAGCGTGCACCTGTCGGGGTTCGCTTTTCAAACTTATCACGAGCTTTGATAAGTTTGTCGTTCCAAGCGTCACGACCTACATCCTCGAGATTATGGATGTAGGCGTTCCACGCCTGAAGTAGTGAGGGACCATCACGTTTGTGATTCCCACTGTACCATCGATGTCTGAAGAAAGCATCGATGAAGAACTCATGTTCAGCGCGATAGTCTTTCGCGCTGGGGTCAAGGTGATGGATCCTTGACGAATCGAACAATCGTGTTCGATAACGATCACTCGTCGTCGCCGACAAGTGATCCATGACAGATTTAGGAGGCATCCATGCCTTCTTCTCGGGAGCGAGACGCAAGACATTGCGATCCCGCTCTTCCTGCGATGTGCCGACAGAAGTACTGGCACCTCGTTGCGAAGTGGTGTCCATAGGAGAACCGACACCACTGTTAGCGCCCGAGTCTCGCGACCTCGAGCGCCTTCGCTTCGGCGATGGTTCATCTGACTCATCAGATGAACCAAAGATGCTGCGACGCAAAGCATCGTCCATGCCACGCTTGGCAGGCGGCTTGGATTCAATTGCCGTCGATACGGATCCGTCATCCGTATCAGGAGAGTACGAGACACCGAGCTCGTACTCTGTGAAGACACGAGTGTCTTCATGACCAGCGCCTGCATCACCAGGTGATACAGGCTGAGTCGATTCAGCAACCGATGGGACATCAGTTGCTGTAGTTTCTGCTTCGGCGTCCGCACAGAGACGTGCAGACGCGCTCTCGGCGGCCTTGCTCGCGCATCGCATGGGCTTGTTTACCATGCGATGAAATGTTGGAAAGTGGACGCGTACCAACAAGTGCAAACCCCGTCCCAAATGATTTGGGACGAGTATCCATTTAGTCAATCAGTCACTAAAGTGACTGATGGTTAAGGGGGTGATGTAACGGGGTGAATCGTTACATAACAATTTATAAGAAATTGTTAATAGAATATAACTATAAGAGTTATATTCTCAGAATATTGTCATAAGGACAATATTCTGTAGCACTTCAAGTAGTTCCTAATTGGTTGATATAGGCCATTATATCAACCAATGAAGACGCGCCACGACAGACGCACGCAATGAGTGGTGAGCAGATAACTGATTTACACATTTGTATTTAGACATAGTTAGATGAAGATAAATAGTGATTTATTGCAGACATTAACTATTATAAATACAGTTCTACTTTTTACTCTAACCAAGTACTCGCTTCTTCTTACCGTCTTCCTCTGCACGGACGAGTGTACGTGAAGTTACGAGGCACCGCCTTATTCTGTTATCGGAATAAGTAGCTTGTACTGTCACCAGTACAAGCTTCAGGGTGCCCCGTTACAGTATTAGCTGCGATAGAACACTACTTAATGCTCACCATCAGATTTCTCTAGACCGTCGTGGAGCAGACACCTGGCCACACTTGGCCAAACATCCAAGCTTCCATCCCCATCAATTTCGGAGTTTGAATAAATTTCCATCGCTGGTGAGTTGCATGTTAAAAACTCTGCAGGGTTCATGCTTGTAAACATCTCCTCGGCTACAGCTAGGACCTCTCTCGGAGGTGACAGCACCAAGTTTTCTTGAATACTGTCCTCACCCATAGATGCTTTTCCTACTTGTGTTGAGTTCCGGTCTTTTTCATTTTTGCGACGGCGTAGTCGAGCAGAATGCCATCGGTTCTTGATCGCATTGTCGGTGCGTCCCGGTAAAAGGGAAGCAATGCGCGACCAGGCGTTTCCGAACTTTCGATGCAGTGCGAGCAGCAGCTCATCCTCATCGACGGACCAGAAGTCGTGCTTGATAGAAGGGTCAAGCTGATTATGCCACCGCTCTCGACACTGCTTTGATGTTCGCCCAGGTAGAAATGACGCCGCTATTGTCCATTGTCTCGCTCCATGGCTTTTTACGGAATTCTGTAGAATCTCGTCTTCATCAGTTGTCCACTGTTGCCTACTAGGGGAGTCCAGCGATTTTGGAGCTCATTCCAACGAGCTAAACAGGAGTGTTTGGAGCGGTTCGGGACTGTTGAAGCGACAAAATTCCATCGGCGCACGCCGTAAAGACGAACACCGTTCCGAAGCAGAGTATCCTATTTTACAAGTGAACCTTTTAGAATGACCTGTGAGCTAGCAACACGATCCCGCTACTTACTTCTTCAGACGTCCACATCGAACCATGCATCTTAGATCATGAAACTCATCGAATGACCTTTTTCAATCGGTAAGAAATGAGCGGATATGATCTACGACGAATATGAGAGGCGGCGTTGACTCCTCACATTTCATGACACGGCATCGGTGGAATCAAAACTGAGATGGTGATGATCCCGTCCCAGATTCCTCCTGAGGCTAAAATTATATGCTTGAGATTTTACTTCCTTCTCGTAGAATACGGAAGATCGTCGAGAGCCGACGTGAGTTCTAATTGACACTTTGTCGACGCGCCATGGGAAAGTGAAGACGCAAGAGATCAGCGACTATTTTGCTTGGTCTCTTGTTGAACGAGCAAGCCCGAATTCGCAGCACAGAGGTGTACACTTCACATAAACATGTACGGGATGGATTGTAGTTATGGTTTCCTCCTATAGATTGTCCGTGCAATGCTTGGTCGTTCGCAATCTGTTTCGAACCAAGTTCAGCATTGAGCGACGTGGCATCCAGCAAATGTTCGCAACATCAGGGCGCTGCGATACATGAATTGTTGCGGTGTGGGGGCCTTCTAAAGACGAGGACAGTCGCCGATTGTCCAACATCTCGTGATCGATCTCTTGTACGAATGGAGCGTTCGAAAACACCGAGGTCGGGTCTCCTGGGGTACATGGAGTACATGGAGATCCTGGGAAAGGCTCTTTTGGGGTTCCATCGTGCTCGATCCCAACAGCCTCCCCATTCTCAAAAGCACGACTACCACGTAATTCTGACGGTGACAATTCGCCGTGCGAACTTGCCGCAGACTCACGTGCGTCTGTACTGCTGGCCTTCAATTTTATCGATGTATGGCGCTTACCAATGGTAGTATTCTTCTCGTCTCCTTCTTCATCTTGCCTTCTTGTAAACCGACTGACTACGGTCTCGGCTCGCCAGCACGCAAAAATTTGCTCGTCCGACTGCATGTTGTGTAAGGCGCACATCGCACAGCAGACAAGTTGTCCAGCCACCACATTGTCCGTGCTGGCGACGGAATCTTCTTCCACATAGGGTCCTTTGTTCGGGTCATCGAAACTTAGTGCAGTCATGGTACTAGAGTGACCGAACTGTTTGTCTGCTGCATCCTCATCGTCGACCTCGAACATGTAGGTCTCGGAGAAGGTTTTCGCTAGAGGCTGGTCAAAAGTTGGAGATTTGAGAGACTCGTGATTGTTTGCGCTTTCTCTGTTTGTGATGAACATGATCATTTCCGGTGCAACTTGTTGCCTCAACACGGGGCAGTTCTGGTTCAACGGATTGAGCAAGACACGCTGCAACGTCGCGAACAGTTTGGCAAGAGCTTGTCGTCGGGTTTGTAAAGCGCGAGGTTTATGTCGAGGATCCGCTACTCGGAACATATAGAGACCTCTTCGTTCGGATAGAAGAGATCGCTGCACGTAAGCGTATAGCCACGGGCATTCTGCAAAGCAAAGATGGCCCCGACTTAACTTCGTCAGTATCCGGTTCTTGAACGCGCAGCACTCGGTATATGATCGGACGAGACGCCATGTCGAATTTGATTTAGCGTCATGCACAGTCAGTGCGAAAGTGGAAGCATCTCTAGACACAAGCGACGATGTGGTCACTTCAACTGTAACGCTGGCCAAGTAGGCGACACTCGGATCCAGATTATGAGATGAGGTGAAAGCTTGCGAACTGCGGTGTAGATGCCTAGCGTAGAGTGCTGAGCACTTGGGGTGGCGCTGTAATGGTGCGTTGCTCATTGTGTAAATTCTCGACAATACGACGCTACAGATTGTGAGAGACCCACCGTCACCGACGCGATGAGTGTAACGAAGCGAATGGCGAAGTGGAGATGGCTTGGTGTAAGTGTTGTAGTCTGATCCATCTGAACTAGAGAGCTTTACGGATGGATGGGGCGGGTCGATCATTCAAGGTCGGAACGTTTGCGTTTAGTCGCGTAAAGTCCACATGAATCACTTGGTTTAAGTCAAAGGGTGAAAATGAGATAGATAGTTTTTTCAAACTGATTGATGTGCATTACTGTCAATGGTATTCCAGTGTCTTGAACGTGGTATGAAAGATAGCTTAGTCGATGTATAACGATTGATTACCACAGATTGATTGCGACACGTAAAATAGTTGCACATTAGCTGTTGTGCGGAACACAGCACTAGACCAAACACCGGTAGGATTCTTGTTCTGATGGCAAATCGACCACAGGATAATGTGCAATATTGTATGCGTTGTCCGGCTGTTCGCAGAGCGAGGACTCGAAGGTGCTTTTCCGAGACCGACCACAGAATTACGCTTTTATATAACCCAACAGCAGATAAAAAGATTGACACCGAGAAGTCACAATTGTCCAGCGCAAATGCAACTGTTCCGCCCCCAGGCATTTGTCGGCGAGTCATCGTGGGCCTCAAGGTTATGGCGTAGAATACGTCTTTATATACAAGCCTATTACTAAAGTTCTGCCAGCGAAAATTCGACATTTGCTGCATCACCCACCTGACATAGTTTTACGGTATCACCACAACAGCGCACTTCCACCTTCCCTAGATTGTTGCATCAATCAGCCAGATCTGTGTGTGTCTGTAAATAACGCACTTCATACCGAGTGCGATGTAGCATTGTGTCGGCGATAGATGTTCTGCGCGTTCTTGCTTGATTTAAGACACGGATAAAATGTATCGCCTCAAAACTTGGTAGTGGCAAAAGTTGAATGCGGCTGATTATCTCTGACACAAGAAGTTGGTATTTAGTATATCGTTAAGTGATGAATGGTGCGACATGGTGTGCCTATCGAAAACTCACAAGCTGCTTGCTTCCTACCGACGGTCAACGCGATCCTGTCGTGCGGCGATTTGCTAATGATGTATTCGCTAAGCGATCTATTAAATCCCACAATATTGTCGGGTTGAACAGTGATGTCCGTTCATTTATCAAACCACATTTGCATAATAAGCGTGGTGAAGCCGTAGTCTAGCGTCGACAGCATTCCGACGGCAGCGAGTTGCGGCTATTCGTTGATAACCGCATTCGCTTCCACATCTTGCTGATGTCATCCCTACATGGGACCGTACAATGTGCAGGTAACTTTGCTGACGCTCGGTGTAGTGTAAGATCTTGTCAAGCCTCATAGAGCAAGATCTCCGTCCTGCCACCTCTGCAGTAGATGTCAGAGTAGAGCTGGAACTTCGCCGGTGCGACACTGATGGATTCTTGCTTTCTACCCACGACGAACTATAGAAAATTCAATGCTACACCCTGCATCACTATAGAACGTACGTGGTTAGCCCGATTCAATAGAAAGCTTTGGATCGTCGTTAAACTACCTCAATGTATTTCAGCTACCGTCGATCAATCGTAGCAGAGAGCTCCCAGCCACCTGATACTTCGGCTTTTGAGGAGCTACTATAAAGTCACGGATTCTCGGCATAACAGAAGTGGCTCCGCGTCAAATCGCTATCAAACGCTTGCGGAAAAACCGAAATTCGTTGAAGCACAGCGCACCTACTGACAAGTGAGAGCTCGTTTGAGTCCCGATTTGGATATTTACCGTGAACACACAGTTGACATGCCGATACAAAAGGTTGGGGCCAAGATACGCTTGACATCACGTCTATCGAAGTACCATCGATTCTTGCCGCTTGAGGTGACAACGCACTGATAGAAGATCAATTCTGCTTCACTTACGTTCCGAGCTCATTCTTCCCTATGCCTTGAGTTTATTCACAAGAAACACATGTGAAATATGGCATTCTCGAGAGCACGAAAGACCTGCAGCAGCCACACACATTTAAATGGCCGTGACTCTGTATTTATTGGCTTTCAAAATCGGATGTGGCTGCTGCCCGATCAATAATTGATGAAGGCGAGTGCTTCAATCGCCAGTGAAGCGATTGAAGTGCTCGGAAGCGACATTGAATCCTAGCAATTCAGAATTCGTAGCACGGATTCGTTCGCAAAAATGTTGGCGCAGGCGCGGCCGCCTACATTTTATCCTCCATGTTACGGCACACAGAACGCCCGTGTTCAGCAGCTAAACTAGTAGCTTATAACGAGATAAGAGGACGATGAATGCCCTCATGAGACGTGCGTATCAACTCGGAATTTTATGCATGGTTTACGTCGAAATTCATGACCACAAATTCTACGGTCACGAGCGAAATAGCTAAGCGACGATGCGGTGTGAGGGTCTGCTAGACTATGTGACTAACCAAAAAAATGCTAGTCTTTAGGTGATAGATTGTCTAACAATGAGAGGCATACAACAAGTCGTGGCACACGAACGACAACTGCATGAACGGTGTAAATATTGCCAGTTGAAGATGCGTAAAGGCCAGCACTCATGAAGTGCAACAAGGCCAGAAACTGCCTCACGGACCCTTCATTGGTTTTGGTCCCGACAGTGGATGTAAGGCGGGGCAATGAATGCTGCTGTTTTAGATAGTGCATCGGCATGCATATTGCTTGCTTGCATGGAGGTCGTTGACAAACTGCCGTGCTTAATTTGCAGGTACTAAGGATCTAAGCTGAATATTGTCGTGTCTATTGCATGCGTTTTGTACCCACCATGCATGCGATGAGCAGAAAAATGTACGCAGGTGCGTACACTTTATCCGGAATGTATCGAAGGTGAGAGTTTTTTCTTCTAATGGGATGATAATACCACTAGACAAAACCTTCTTTCGCGCATGTGGGAACGACTGAGAATTCTTGTAAAGGTGACCATTTGGAATTACTATTGCAATATTGCGTACCATTGGCTAATGTACATTTTCACTGCGAAGGAATGGCACGATTCACAAATGAAGCATCGATGAACAGACGAGCAACTACAAACGCCCAGGAGAAGCTAACAATTCTAGCACGTAGCGATATCTGCTCTCGACTTGTCTTTTGCTCATTCCAGGTATACACGAAGGTAGCTGTATAACTAGCTGGCTGGAAGCCATCGGACTGAGACCAGAGGATAACAGCACTTGCAATTTGAACGGGATCACGATCCCTATCCCTATCACCACCGCAAGCCGCAAGTTTGACATGCTTCCCCAAATACACTCGGACACCACTGTATTCATTCGAGTGACGTAGAATCTCGCTCAGAGGTTTGTGCTCTGTTTTGTCCCCAAAATCTCTCGCGTCTTTCAATATCTACTGCAATTGGTAAAGGAAGTATGACCACAAAAAAGGGCACGGCCCCACACAATGAGTGTCAGTGCATACACATGACACCCATTATCATGCCAAAGACACCCTTATCTGATGCGTAAATAAGAACTTTTGTGCACGCCTTCAGATTGTTAAATCGACACCTTCTTATGACCTTGATTGGCAGCGCTTTCTCTAACTACAGCAGCAGCACAAGCACTAAAGTCGCGACCCAAGGCGTAACTCTGCGCTTGATCTTTTGGTTCTCGCCATCATGTACTACGCTCTCTTGCAAAACGCCTAGGCACAATCGATATTGAGAGACAATCAATGTGGATCGCGATGGCCTGCCCTATCAATATGTACTGGTGAGCGACCACGCTAGGAACTACAAGCCCATCACAAGAGCTTGTGTTTCTTATTTGACTGCCAAGATCCCTTTCCATAAGCTACAATGCGTGAGGCATCTTTTTGTACATATCGACGCCGTTGACCTCGAGGTCCCTTTTTGTTTATAGCGAAGAAGGCGACTGCGAGATGAGCGCGGGGCTAAATTTATACTGAACTTTCCCCTTAATGCGTTCTGTGCGGCCCTATCCATGGCATCGTAAACGAGCCCTGTGATCATGGCAGTAATGCACCACTACTACGCTAATGCGAGCGGTACTAGTTGTTGAGTATGTGTGTGTTGCCGTCACCAACTAAGAGATGATGTATCTATCATGCTGAAGCACATACAAAAGTTGATGCCGACTATTTTGACGCCAAAAAACAGCAAGCTAGTGCTTGGGATAATTAGTCCATGGTTCAAACAAATAGGTACGAGAATAAAGCGCATGGAAGCGCTTGTAGCAGCTCACAGAGCTGAAACGTTAGCCGCGCGCGCGCGTACTGTAATGTAATTATGTCACAAGCTGGCAGCCAAACTTTTACGTGAATACGTGCTACCTATATGCGCTTCAAAGGACAGGTTCGCTGTATCTGATGACGTTCTACTGACCCGAATAGTCCAACGGCCAAATCGAGAATCGACCTACTTGCTATACATCAGAAACATTCCGCTGCCTTGTGATGCGTCAGAAATTAAGATGTCGCAGATTTAGTCACAGGTTCACCTAAAATTGCACTCTGTCACAATTGCTGCTCTATGTGACAATCGATAAAAGCATATAATTCCATTCTTCAGCTACGTCTGAGACTACTGTTACTACCTCTGCTAGTACCACAACACTACTACCACTACCACTGCTACAACAACAACAACTTCAACGACAACACCTACAACTGTTATTAACGTTACTACTGCTACTGCTGCAACCTTAACAAATATTACTACACCAACAAGAATCTCTACTACTTCAACTACCACTTATTGCCACGTCTTCTTTTGCCGCTTATTTTACTACTACGACTACTAGCACTTCTACCAGTACGTCTTCTTCTACTACTACAGCGACTACTACTACTACTACTACTACTACTACTACTACTACTACTACTACTATTACTACTACTACTATTACTACTATTTTCAGATTACTACCGTCAGCGGGCACATTTAATGAATCTCCTCGAAGGACATGTACAACCAAAGCACATGCAGCTGAATCTAAGTGTCGTGGCTTATGTCAGATCGGGGGCATCTCCGCATACTATCAAACTTAGTCAAATGCAGTACTAAGCACGCAGGCTGGAACTGAACTCGCCTACATTGCTGGTCGACAATGTTGCGGTCTACTGTCGCTCCACAAGCAACACCTGCATCGACTATAACCGTGGAACCTACCTTAAGTCTTCTCCCGCATATTTGTCTTGTAAGATAAAATTGTACAAGGCAAACACGCGGGGACGAATATCAACTTAACAGTGAGGTGCGATCCGGGTAAGCGCGCCGTACCTCAAGCGCAATATCATCACTGATAAACAAACACATCTACGCCTGTGATGTGATCGATAAACGATTACTAAAGTGCAAGCACTTGCACCATAAGCGATGTCCTCACACCGAGGTACTGGACGAGTTACGTCGCTAAGTGCATGCAGTGTAAGCTAGAGAATATCCACCTTGTCCATGCCGTTTACATATCGTTGCGGAACCATTGCTGAACCGTGCAGAAACCGTATCTATTGACAAATACGTTGGCTGTAAGGAGCAGCCAAGGGCTCTGCAAGTTGAGTCCGGACAGTGGATCACCGCTGAAAGCTACCTATGAGCCAGTTACGAGATAAACCGCTTTGACAGCTATCACGGACTGTCCACCACTGAAAAATTCGAGAACTGCACGCGACTTTCACAGCAAAGCGTTGGAAGATGCTAACTGACGCAAGTGCCTTCCCCATTCATGGGATCAGGTACGGACGGGTCGCTCAAATGATGATGCCCCGTCGACCCTCGTCGACGAAGGACCCGAACACATTTCTGGCTTCGAGAAGTAGCCAGATGCGCTGGGCTTAGGATTAGCAGAATTATCAGATCATGGGCGAGACTGTCCAGGACGATAGGAGTGAGGATTCTTCTTTGGATTACGATGCAGAACGCCCATGTTGCCTAGGCAACGAATCGCGCTGCGCAGATAACAATATCTATGATTGGAACGATTCCAGCTGCTAGCTTATGTCGTGTTCATGGATGGTCGAGGTTGCTGGATTAAGCATGCATTGTAGGCATTGTAGTACCCCCTTCGGTAAGCCCTGTGTAGATTGGACGGAGCTTACCGAGTTCAAAGTTCAGCCACATTCACCAAAAACGAAGGCAAGATTAGGAAAGTCGACGAACTGGCTACCATGCCTGGTCGGTAGCTGCCTGGATCGGCCACCACCTCGTCAGTTGCTTCAACCATGCTGTTTTCTAAGTGTCTGTTTCACCAACTTCAATGGAGATGAAGAGGAACCTTGGTAAGAAATGTAGATGAAGGATGCGGAGGTTGAGCTGGAGCAGATACTTGAGCTGAGCTTACAAAAATGCTAAATCTTGTATCAATGTAGGAGTTTGTTAAACACACCCAAGTAAATATGACTGCTTAGCCTAGGCTGATGGAAGACGTGGTTTTCGAGGAGTCTCATAAGGTGGAGCACAAAAGCAGCAGTATCCATGTGAAAATGGCACATGTCGCAGACAGCTTTGCCAGGAACAAAGCGATAAATGTCCAGCTCGACGCCTACTCGCTGGTCGCTGTTCCATCTATCCCGAAAAACCTCCCGGGACTGACACGGAGTACCTCATTAGTCTCCTACTTAATGCGGCAGTGCCCAATTCACCCTTGACGTGTGGATTCAGCAGGTTACATTTCCGACAAACATTACAAAAACAGCGATTCTGTTTCATACGTATTCTACAATGCTTCGGCGAGCCAAACCATACAAAACCCATCTATAGTTAAATCGGCCATTCTGGTTTACTTGGAACTTAAAAAATTAGCGGGCCTGGAACGAAATGGGTGGGCTCTCCATGAATTAAACTACCTGAGGTAACAATTTACTGCACCACAAGTTACCAAGGGAGCACTGTACGCGGCAGACCCGATTGGATGCAACAGCTGGATCGATAGCCTACGATATCTATACAGTCTACCCGCATTATTATCTGTGCAACAATGATTCTGAGCGGGCAGCGTCGTCTTGGCTAGACTGTTCCTAATAAGTCAACATACTTCCTCATCTAGCCCTCAGAAACAAGATCGACAAGAGGCTGGGCTGGACCGTGTGCTTTATTCTGGTTAGGGGTTAAGCGACGTGCTCTTCGCCTCCTTATTAACTGATGGATGTTGCACACTCTTGAAGCTACTGGTTGGAGCGCGTGACTGAAGAGCGGCAGCATCCGTATGTAACAATGGATTTTTCATAGCCTCTCGAAAATTCTCGGCTAAATGTCGGTGTCCCTAACCAACATCGTCCGAAAACCGAAATAAGTATTTGTCTTTAGTACGTAGTAGCTCGCCAATTGCCCCATCCTTTTTTGGGAAAGTACTTGCGAATGAGTCAAGTATTTTTCCAGTAAGATCGCTTATTCGGAACTTCATCAACGCTTTTGTGTTGAGTGCGGTGACATGGCGTTACCACGTTATAGCGGAGTGATCGAACAGTAGACGTGTGAATACGACGAGCTGGTAGATTTGCCTTTAGGTTTGCTCCTGCTTTTATCATCATCATCATCATGGTAGTGTTTCGATAGCCGCTCTCTCTGTCTTCGCCCGAATAAAGTTATGAACACGTGCGTGACATCTGTTCATAAATCTTGGCGTAGCTGATCCCGCAAGTCGTCACGCCAAAGAATACGAGACTTTGCGCTCGACGTGACCACTTGACAAGACCAGAATGTGTCATTCAGCTCGTGCTGCACGACAAAAGTCGAAATCTGATCATTTCATTATCCACCACATGGACGCGGAATCTAATGGTTAGCAAGGCACCGTGACCTTTGCCGAACGATCCGTTGTTTTGTAGCAGGGCGCACGTAAGTGCGCATGAGGTACAGACCCAACGCCACTCAAGCTTAGAAGCTAAAAACGAAGCAGCGCATGACCAATCAGCCTCAGTCGTTATGCTAGAGGTGCAAAATATCCAGTTTCTCCTCACGACAGCACTACTTTCGGTGCTTCCAACAAAGGAGCAGAGCCTGCTCGCCAGCAACAAGTTCCAAAGAGTTGCTGCAGCAGTTGTTCCATGGCTGCTGAATGTAGTGTTCGATCGAAACGTCGCTCGTCGCCAGTATCTAGTCAGGAATCGACAGGAATCGACTCGCGGGCTACTTGAGGAAGTCGAAGCTTCCACAGGTTCCCCGACCTCGGCTTCAAACGCGCATCTATATTGTGCACTCGAGAATCATGTGTAACGAGCTGGTCGCTCGTTAAGAGCTGTGCTCACACTTAGTAATAAGCTAAAGGCTTTTCTCTGCATGTCGTAAATTTCGCCCCGACGTGACCTTCCCATCGTAACAAAACCGGATGAAAGTGCTCTTCACGTTGAATACTTCCTATAGGTAATGCACATTTATATTTAATCAGGCTGTCTTTGAGCAGATAGTAATGCATAATGAGTCGTCCGCAAATGATTTCAATCTCCTCAATATCTCAATCGTACGTCTGTAAGAACGACGTATATATCCAGCTCCCTAAATAGATACAGGCGTCGCTTGCGCGCGACTGTGTAACTTTCGTGGCTTGCGTATTGTTGTTGGCAGAGCGAGTTTTTGTAGATTGTCAGCCTTTCCCGCGCCTTACCGCTGCATTCGGGAGAGCCGAGTTGAGCAAAGTGTCTGAAGAAACATTGAGTGGATTTGCAGGCTATTCAGAGGTTCTACGAGCGGACGCTGTTAACACCACACCGACAAAGTAGCGCCCTTACGGCTCCCGGCACGAGATTGTGCGAAGCAATCATATCGACCGCTAGATCAGCAATGGTTGTCCAATTGGTGCGTGCCAGCAGTTAAATCGCCTGCAAGAGCCGAGACGATCGTCGCCTGGCCTTCAGACCAATTCATTTCGAAATCTGCTTCATAGCGCGATGACGTCCCCATCGTTCATAACGATAGCAGCCCCACCGCGTTCGGAGCACAACTCGACCATGTCGCGCAAACGCTCTTCTCCAGCCGTAAAGCCTCTTCCGGAAGAGGTTGCATGGCTCAAGGACGTTAAGCTTGAATTGAGCACCACCAATTCGATCCGCACCTCCGTGCAGTACATCATTCGCGTCATCTACCAGCCCTTGGGGGCCGCGGCTACAACGTGGGAAGTGAAGCGTACGTTTGACCAGTACAAGTGGTTCCAAAAGCGCTTGCTAAACCATCTTCAGCCTAAGCACAGTTGCAAGGCAGAGTGCCGGTGGCTTCATAACACCATTAAGAAGCACTTCCCCAAGTCAACGCTGGGCTCGCGCTACCCTGTGGTCGTCGAGCAGCGCAGGAAGGCGCTGCTACAGCTACTGACTACTGTGCAAGCGTCTATCGTGAACCATGGGAACCGCAACTGCAAGGTGATGATGGAAGCCGTCTGTCAAGAACTCTCCTCGTTTCTCGTGGGCGACGATCACCAAAGTTGCATCGGTGTGACTCCGCCCGTGACGCCCACGACGAGCTCTGAGATAGAAACGTCTGCTCAGTCGCGGCTATCGTTCGCTTCTTCCGTCTCGTCAGAAGGAGACGAGGAGGTGGTCATGAATTACGACGGAGACATGTTTATAGGTTGGAGTCTTCCTGTCGAACACCTCATGCACGAGCACACCCTGAGCTCGCTGACATAGGTCAAGCCGCTAGAAGAGAATGCAGATAACAACCCGACAACTATCAATATGTAACTTATGTGACGTCTTGACAATTTGCCTATCGTCCTGGATTTTGATATCGTGTGTTCGGTCGACACTGTTGGCTGAGAGTGTTCACGCGTCTAATTTAAGCTTTGCACAATCCCGCGACGGGATGTGCTCGACGAGTGGTGCCACACACTAGTTTTTAGCTGTGTGAGGAATCGAAAGACGTGCAAATAGCTCAGTTGGTGGCTGTGGTAATGGTCGAGTCGCCTCTGTCGTCGACGACATCATATTCTCTCTCATAAACGGGGATGACCGCTCACGAATCGTCGTAAAAGCGATGGAAAGCACTAGTTAATGGGTTGCTCAAACACGAAGGTAGGATACAGCATGTAGCGATACCATGATGGACAATGTGCAGATGAGAGCAATTGGTAAGAGCGCCTACTTGTTCGACAGAACGACGATGGTGCGCCCAAACTCCAGCTCGCGCCCGTCGTCGATGTCCGCTTCACATACCGTAGACCACAGTCTGATCCTCGCTAAATGAAAGCAAGCTCCGACTTATAGGCCGTGACCGCCATGTAAGGCCGCGTGACCTTCTCTCGCAGACTCGTCGTCGACCAACGAGCACATGTTCTTTCTACTACCCTGACGTCGTCCAGTCGTACAACGTTGGAAACGGCCACGCTCACGCAGGATGACTGGACATGAACGGCTTGGACATGGCCACCGTGCGCTGAGGTCTGAAATAGGACTCGCATACGCCATGACCCGTACAACATTGAAAGTCGAACAGCGTCCTTTTGCAGGCTGCTTCGTCATCGTTCCTCTTGATTGAAAACGTCAAATGTCGTGAGCTACCTGTCGTCCGTTACACAAATGGTCCAATCGCCATCGTCCCTCGTTCGCGCAACGGCTGGATCATTCCGCAAGTTTGCCAAGCCACGACGGAACGTCCATTCCAAGCGGGCAAGAAGCTAGAGTACAAATCGTACAAGTCTCGGAAGGATCTTCGGTCGCCAAAGTCGATCGTCCTAAAGTTAGCATTAAATCTCAGCTCAGCACACTCCCGTTTTAAGCCACAGGAAGCCAGCCAAAGCCATGGTCGATCCTATGAATGGAAGAGCGAACTGTAGCAGCACCAACGGCAATGGCGGCGTCAGCTCGGCACCGCGCTCGACCGCTATCCGGAAGCGCGCCGTTCCCCTGGCCGTGCCTGAGGCCGTAGCGTGGCTGGACTTTCTCACGCTCGAGCTCGCGGCGACCAGCACTAGCGGCAAGACCCAGTACCACTTGACGATGCGATACAAACCGAGTCATCCGAAACTCGCGCCTTGTGCGACAACATGGACGCTCAGCCGTAGCTTTGATGAGTACCGGGCCTTCCATAAGCGGCTGTCAAAGCGGTTGCAGCACGGCCACTCGTGCGGCGCTGACTGCAAGTGGTTGCACAAAGTAGTGAAGCACTACTTTCCTCAAAAGTCTCTATTCAGCAACAACTGCCCCAAAGTCGTGGCGGCCAGGCAACAGACGCTCATACGCTTTCTTACCACAGTGCAGACTTCCCTCATGAACCGAGGGAACCACAGCTGCCAGGTGCTTGTGTCGGATGTAGGAGCCGAGTTCAACCGCTTCGTGGTTAAGGGCATGAAGGACCTAAAGACTAGCGCCGCGACCAGCGACTTGTCCGAGTTCAGCGCCGCCACGCGCGACTCGTTCGACTCGCTGGACTTAGAAGATGGCGACGAGCACTACGAATCTGAGGACGAAGCGGCGGTGGAGGAGAGCGAGTGCGACGCTTGCCACAGCCGTCACGTCATGTGTCGCACCCATCGCAATCAAGCTGCTAAGTGTAAGGCGTAAGCGATAATCCAAAGAGCAAACCAACCTCAGCTTTGTCGTCGATTGACGATGCTGTGCCCACTGGGACATGAACTGATTAGCTGTAAGCGTGTAAACTTCATGTCGCACTCATGATTTACACCCACGTGTAGACTAAAGTCACAGAAAAACATCCACCTGCTACTAACACACTCTTTTTCTTCTACCGTAGCCATGTTTGGTACGATCGAATGCGCTGGCGCTTTCTGCACTTTGCCACTTCTACCGACGAAGATGGGGAGCGGACTATCAAGCGCATAGCGTAGAAGACGTGACCGAGTCGGACGTCATATCTCAGAGTTGTGCCGCAGCACCGAGTACGTTGAGGAGCATGTTCAATGCATCGAAGCCTTTTGATGCCAAGTAGTGATGGTGGAAGGGGGGGGGGTGGCCACGCTCTGCGTCACGGCCACAACTACAACGGCGGCTGTCTGCACTCATTCTAATGGGATTAGCCTAAAGACGAGCATCTGTATACACAATCTAAGCTTACAGCGGTCGATGTGAAGTCGATGAAGCCGCTTACGCTTACACGAACGAGATAAGCTGGACGGGAAATGCCGTCTTGGACCTTGGTGCGAAATCTAAAGCTACTTTCGGAAGAGTCGTCCCCACTGCCAGATGAGGCCTATTGATGGCTTGTTCTGCAGGAAGATGCTGCGTCCTGCAGAAATGTCAGGACGAACTTCACTCCGTAACAGTCATCGCATGATTCGTGTCGCTCGCTCGCTCGCAGGTTGTAGTCCAGCTGTCATCGATAGCACCAGCACAAGGTTCAGCGATCACGCAGACTGCATTGAAACTGACGAATCCCGTCGATCGCTGGTTTACCGATGAAGCTGTCAGATGCGGCCGCTAGTCTGATTAACGAGCTCATTGTGTCTGTGCTGAATAATGCGTTTTCTTGTCTCACTGGCGCTCACCTGAGTTCCTTGGACGTCGAAAGCGTTTCGCAGTCGCCAACGTCAAGACGATGCAAAGCTGACACTGAGTAGACTGGTCACTCGTATCACATGCTGACCATGGCGTCAGCTGGAGAACGTGCGATTGAACGTAGTTTTACAGCGATATCATGCAGCATCTCCCCGCCAAGCATTGGACCAACCAAGGGCTTGTGCGATTTCCTTACGTTGGCGTCATACGAAGCCGACAACTGTGTGTGGACGTGGAGTTCTCTACGCTGCTGCATTTCTGTGGGATCAGTGCAAGGTTTGGCTATGCAGGGGACAGTCGAACGCTCTGACGCTGCATCTTCGATCGCTAAGGTCTGAACGTGGCCTGTGACGAACATTTGGCAACTGACGATCTCTTTCTGCCCACCATATCATCATGACGAATGCTTGTTTTATAGCATAGCGAGAGTATGTTCTGCCGACTTACGAACAGTCCGCGTTTAGCGCCATAAACGTGAGAGTATGTATGAGTTATGCTTGGGTAGTTAAACATGTTGTTTCGTTAGTGAGGCGGGGCTCGAGACTTGACGGTGATGTCTACAGGGGTTTCTGCCTTACTTCAGGAAAAGCGGACCACCACAGCTCAACTACTTATTCACTTAAACTTTCGCTTGACGGCGGCACTAAGATCCATGTCCTCATCTTCATCAGAGCTCTGCACTGCCTCTCCGTTTGTTTCTTTCTTGCTCGTCTTCACACACGCACTTCTCTCCATTTGCAAAGATGTGCCAAACTCGCTCTGGATTACACCACCCTCTTCTTCACTGTCACTGTCATTGTCCGCTACAAGTTGCTTAGCTGCAGATTGGAAAGATCTTGGCTGCTCCTCCTCGCCACCGTGGATCAAATTTTGTACCTTTTCGCTACCAGCAAGTCGGCGAAATTCACTTCGAGCCGCATCAGTCATTGCAAGACCCGTAGCTGCTTGCACCAGCTTCTCCTTTGCGAGGTCAGCAGCAGTCTCAAGCGACTCCAGCAATTCCGCCATTGACGTCACCTGCTGGGTGACCTCCTCCTTTGTAGGATCACCTCGCAGTGCAATCGGAGCATGCAGGACCGAAAAATCTGTCATAGCGCCAAGATCCACCGTTTCAACGCTTCTCTTGATGCTAGCTTCGTCCACTGTTGAAGATACGTCGACGAACGCTCGACCTCGAAGCAATGCGCGCCGACGCTGCACAGCCTCTTTGTCTGCTTTCTCTTCCTCCTCTTTAAGGAATGTCGTCAGCTCAATAACACGAGCTGCCGCCACATTTGCACAGCTCAGCACGATAGTCGGAGAAATGGCAGCCCCGCCGATTTTGTGCACGGCGCAAAGCTCACGGAACGAGTTGAATGTAAAGCTTATACGCGCGTCCGTAATACGTTCTTCTCGGTCAGTCGGATCCATGAAGATGATATGCTTACCATCCATATCAACATCGTCATCACTTCGATGTGAACCCTGCATCTTGGCAGCTGGTTGCAGAAAGCAAAATGAAATGGAGATAGGAATGTGATGAAGACTCAACGGGACCGCAGCACGCTCATCTACACTGTACACAGTGACGCCACCATTGTGCTCAGTCCCCTTCTCTACTGCAACCTCCGGTCTCCGGTAGTGCATGAGAGCCGCTATAGCTGCAAGAGACGCAGCATCCACAAGATTGCCGCCGTGATCAACCACGTGCACGTGGCAAGTAATGGCCCAAACTTTTTTGCCCGCCACCACAGCAAGCGCTTCCGTATCAAGGGCGCGGCTTTCGCGAACGCTGCGTTCAACAAGCCGCGCCAGCTCTGCAGCTGCGACTGAAGAAGCAGCACCACGACCCGCCGATACCGAGGCCTCAAAACTGGGCGACGCCATTGGCGACAATTCTACGGAGAAATGAAGAAAGCCTTCGGTCGGGCGGTCTGGAAAGGGCGGCACGATCTCGCCATGTACATTGCCGATAACGCTGTTCACCAGTGACATAGACAACAGACCGAAAACAATAGCGTCAACGTGAGTGCAAGAGCATCGCAATTAAGACATTCCTGCTAAGCGCTTTTGTACCGAGTCCGACCGAGCTGAACTTCGGCTTGGCTCGCACTCTCGCTGCGACGGAACTGCAGCCGAATCTTACGTTGCTGCAGCAGCTCTCGACCATCAGCTCGTATATGCGGCGGCCGACGCAGGCAGCTGGCCAGAAACTGGCGCTCGTTCTCGCTTAAGAAATCGTGCTCGTCCCGCAGCGCCATCGTGAGCTGCTGGTGGACGTGGTTGTCTGAAGCTAACGATCGCTGATTGGCCAATCACCGATGGGTTTAGAAATCGTTTGACAGCAATTGACCACCGATGGGTTTAGAAATCGTTTGGCAGCAAATGACCACCGATGGGTTTAGAAATTGTTTGGTCGCAATTGATCACCGATGGGTTTAGAAATTGTGTTTTGGAGTAAAACAAAGATGTCAAAGATAGTGAGAATGCAGGACTAGGTCGCCTATTTTTTAGTTTTTGTTGGTTGAAAACATCGTGATGGACGGGTACCGGCAGACACTACTTGGACGAGCGCTGGCTGATGCGTTGCAAGAGCTGGAAGGTGAACAAAGGGAAGGCGATTCAACGGTTGCTGCTCTGAATGTCGACGGTGATCGTTTGTTTGTACTGTTTGATGACGCTATGCGCGCGGAGCTGTGTGATGCTAGCAATTCGGGCCACGAGACTCAGGGTCGCAGGTATACGCACGAGACTCTGGAGTTGACAGGGCACGTGGTAGCATTTAACCGTTATATGAACGATTGGAGCCTGCAAGCGTGTGTCAAGGCCTACAACATTAAGCTAAATCAGAGGGTCGCCGATTTATACTTGCCACAGCAGCGTCAAAAGGAGAGACACGAACAAGAGGTGGCCGTTCGGCTGAAATTGCGACAACGAATATAACAAAACCATCCTCTTGCGTGCCGATATGTGGTCGTACTTTTGTCCCGCAGCGCTTGATTAGAAAGAGAAGATGAGTACGAGTTAAAGCGCTGATTTGTAATGGATACAATTTGAATTGCAGTTGCATACGATGCTAAAGTTGTAAAGTTCCGAGATTCGTCCTCAGTGACCGGATGATTAGCAGTGGCACTATGTCTGAGATGTGTCGATATCTATCCGCGGAGGCGCACGCTTCACATCGCTCAGGGTAAGTAGTTAAGGTGATTTACTAAATGATGCTTGCCAGTCCTGGCATTTGCACTGTCGGGTGCGATAGATAACTTGAGGCTTTACTACAGGCCTCATAAAGATATGGGAATCCATGAACAATGTTGGCTAAGCTAGTTTATTGATTACGCCACTACTAATTAATGAATTTGTAAAAATCGATGGTTATTCGTGCGATAACTGCTCGAGAAGGGCGCGATGCTTCGTCTGGAAGACGTGCTCGAGCGACAGGTGCATTGGGGAAGTGCGGTTGGGGTTCATCTCCCACTCAAGGATAGAAAAGTCTGACTCGAGTCGCATCTGGGTGGTATCTAACCTACTGCGGGTTAGCCTCTCCTTGTCAAGGGATTTCGTCGGTAGTGTATCGATGACCCGTGATTTTTAATCGACTGAAGCGAACTAAAACGTATTGGCTGCCAATCTTTGGGTTCCGTCGATGGGAGAGGCTTGACGGCAGAAATTGACAGAATAGCTAGCAGATACTGTAGCCGCCACTATGGCTATAGCTAAAGTTTTATCTTTCTGGTTAGTGATGCACGTCGATCGACTACAAACGATCAGTAATTTAGGCGTTTGTAAAATGATAGTGTATATCTGATCCATCAATCTCCGCCGCACTGTCCGCTCATCGAGTCCTGATAGTGGTCTGCAGCTGTGATTGAATAGACATTACAAACAATGCGTAATTGTAACCAAGCGAAATTCACAGTTGCTCTTCTACTGTCTTGTACGGACCTTTGTCGTTGAAATTCCTTGACTGATGCTTTGTTTGCTACGCTTGTAAAGATCCAACCAGATAGGGCTTCAGGCGAGCTATAACTGGTGCCATATGTTATGACCCATGGTCCGTAATCGGAAAGGCTTGTTTAGTAAGAATATGTTAAACCATATTCCACCGATTGTAGGCGCACCAATACTCCTAGACATGAAGGGGTTGGCCTTTGAAAAAAAAGCATCTATAAGCTGGGTAAATAAAGCACGAAGCTTAAGCAGCTAGTTGCTTTATGATCAAGCGCTGAAAAAGCTGGCGTGAGTCTTGAACAGAAACTCCGTTGTAACTTCGCCAAATTGAGGGCCAGAAGGCAGTAGCGGCCGATGTTCCGATCGCACTACGCTCCAGCTACGCCTGTATCTGCGAGTCAAATCAGAGTTTGGCTGTGGACCCGCCTATTGCCCTCATTTCTATGTAAAAGTGTGACGGCTCGCAAATTGATTTTCACAATGGCGCCTAAAAACACGACAATAGAACAATCCTGCCGAAGGCTAATCTCGTACTTTTTTAATTTCTTGGACTTTTAATACACCCTTCACTTTACCGGATACTGTTATTGGCCATGACAACGACTGTGTAGTATGTATGACCTCTCAACATGGAGTTGGAGATTCCCTAGCTTATTACGCGACGCCGGTGGCGGCCGGCATGTCGGCTGCAGCCCAAGCGGACTTGCTTCTCGAGGTAAACAGTCTCCAATGTACTTTGATTTAAATTTAGCGCACGCTTGACACTGTGCACCCCGTTAATTAACGTTTTAGACGAGATAGAAGTCAACAAGACGCAGCTCGACCTCCTGAATCGGATGCAGCAACATGTGGCAAGACCAAGTTTCAAGGTGCGAGCGCCTTGTGATCCACTTGAGACTAATCCCAATACGCCTTAAGGAGACCGACAAAATTTCATACTGTGTGCGCAAAGGTAGAGGTGAGATGAGCGTATACGCAAAGCCCTTATTTGCAACGACGGTAAATGGTCTGATTTAGGAAGTACTCAGCATCGCCTTTTAAACAGCGGACACTATATGTGTATTTATAATTTTATGCGTATAAAAGGCTTGGTCACCGACCTTAGAACATACAATAAGCTTCTGTCTTTATTCGACTCTTTATCCTGCTGTTTGTCTTGGCTATCAGCCATTGCGTCAAGCACATGTCGCACAGCATTCAAGTGCATTTAAGGAACGTGATAACCGGAATTTGAGAAGTGGCAGAGCTGATGTCAGCAAGCCGGCCGGCCGTTCACCACTTTTGTTTCAAGAATTGAGACACGTATATGTAGCGCTAAATGAAGCGCGATGGGGGTGAGGCCATTCCAGAAGAACAGAGTATATACTGTCGAGGAATGAACTATCTGTAGACATGTCTTATGTGGTATCAAGCACTGGATGATAAATTTAAGTACTTTTTTTTTAAACGAGGGTCTCTGTTGATGCAAGTCATAGTCTCAGTGTTGTCGAAACAATCACACATGAACATAAAAGCTGCAACATTGCCAGCAATGACGTCTGGTACACCCGCTAAGTAATCCACCTTGATCAACTGGTCGGCAAAGACCACAGTACCCGTTTTGCCGACCGAATAATCGCGTAGGCCAATCACGAAGCTCACGCTGATGGGCGCTTAACACTCAGATGGTACTGATACGGCTATCTAAGCTGAAGGTCTTTTCAGGACGAGATGACCACCAAATCTATGTAATGATCGTATTATTAAAATCGTTAGTCTTGTTTTTCACTATGAGATACACCGATACGCGGGTGCCCATAGTATTTATGCACTACAAAACGAGCCGATATCAAAAATGTCGATCTGGACTTGCACGCGATTGTGCCAACAATTTAAAATCTGAGTCCTTATACTTACCACTATAAAACTCGTTTAGAAGCTACACATCGGTCACCATTGGCGCAAGATGCATTGATAAAGTTTGTAGTGAGAAACGGCAAATTGTAAAACGTGCAATGTCGTAAGTAGGACGGCACGAAAACGCAAATTCCAAAAAAATTAGCCATTCGTCTTATCTTCCACCTCGAGCTTTGTATTCTTTAACTAAATGAATGCTGACGGGCCATTCTCTGTGAATGGTGAGGTGATTGAGTCACTGTGCGTATAGACGCAGGATTGATATGCACTACGAAAGGCTTAAAGCCAACCCAGTAAATTCTGAATTTGACTAGAGCACTTCCCTATTAAAAGTAGATCCTCTTCGTAAATTAGATAATTCTTTCATCATCTCTAAGCTGACGAGATTCAAAAGTGAAGACGCGCTCGCGTCACTTAATCTTATTGTAACAGTGAGCAGAAAATGGCAAGTTCAGTAGCGTCACAGACGACCCGGAAAGCCCGATCAGAATCGGAAAAATTAAATACGGGTCGTGTAGACGACTCTTATGTACGTTTATAAATACCTTTTACTTCAGCACCACTCCACAGCCTTTTTCAAATAGATTAAACAATAGCCGAGCCATGTCAGCGTAATCTTCACTATATTTGTCAAAGTATTGGCAAGACCAATCTACTTCCGCAGGTTCATTTGGTTCTCGAGGACTGGCCGATTCTATGTGGCCTCCACCTATGCGGAATATCCCCGAAGTCTTCGCCTCTTTGACGCATTATCGGACAGCTTATGTGTAGGTATGCACTTGAGAACGGCTCGTGAATTGTAGATATGGCTTTCTACGTCGGATCGACCATGACCTGCCCGGCCTCCATAAAAATTTAAAAGAAAATACAAATGTGCATAAGCACGGTGAGGGCGAAAGTTGCATACCCAGACTTTTTTATTTGAATTTAGGACATCAGAAAACCTCTGAGGCATTGCCCACCTTATAAAAGCGTACCGAATAATGTACTCAACGCTGTGAGCAGACATACTTGATAGCGCAAGCGATAAATAATAATGATTAACCGGTTGGAAAGAACTGAACATTTTACACCCGACCACGTTGTTTTAAGTAACGTCCTTTTTAGAAATTGGTAGTTGTGCCGGTCTAGTGTACGAAAATACCTTGTTATAAGCATGCACAATGCACCGCTTGCTGTTCAGCTTTTTGACACATTATTCGGTGAGAAATAAGGAGACTTGTTCTCACTCAACTTTCTCGCAGCGTGCTTAGCACCAGAAAAATTAAAGGTTGTTACAATGATCCTTAGGTAAAAGCCACGACCGTGCAACGCAGTACTTGGTCCCAGAAACCAAGTCAATTTATACGACGGACACCCCTATTAAGCGGTTATACAAACGGTGGATTACGACATGCCATGTATTGAGATTCTTTTGCAAAGGGTAGTGGGTATCTAATGACCCCTCATATTGGATGATCCACTACGTACACGAATTTCTGCCTTTGTACGTTAAAGGAACGTATCATCTAAATTTTGAAGAGGAATTGAAATAGTTATCGGGATCTAAGAAACACCATGTTGGATAGGGCAACCGCATTCGAGGCCTAAATTTGTTCATTTACAAACATTTGTCGAGCTCTTAAGTATTCATCGATGCTACTGCTGCAAGGCCGACTCATCGTACACGTGACTTGTCACTCTATCTTCCACAGATTACAGACGATATCTTGTATCGCTCAGCGACATCACAGATACTTAACGTTGCGGAACAGCCATCTGTCGTTACTACCTTTTTCTCAAAAAAAGGAACTCCTTCTCGAGGTAGGAACATCTGGCCCCAAAAGATGATTGCATTTTTTAACTCAAGCGTGCTGTATGCAAGAGACAGTGTCAAACCGAAATCGCGTGCGTAGTTGCTTAACTAGAGCTCATCACTTTGTGATTCATACCGCCACTGCAAGTAAATTATAGTTTCTAGCACTTGATGCATGTTCGTCTCGCCAATGATGCCGGTAATAATATTCATAAAGGGGATGTTAAAGCATACCTAACTCTGTAAATATTTACGGGACACTCCACGTACATCTAAGAATAACACCCCAATTGACTCAGCC